AAAAAAAATGGAAAAAAACATTCCTAAAAAATCATTTTTTAATCAAAGTTTAGTGTTCGTTTGTCTTTGTTTTACATGGAAATTGTCCATTAAAGTAAAAAAAAATTTACAATTGGTTATGAAATTGGTTTCCACTGCCCAAAAAAAAACTGGAATTCAGTTTTCCCACAAAAAATGTGGGAAAAGAAATTCAACCAAAACAAGGAAAAGAGGCGCGTGAGGTGAGTAGGTGGAAAAAGAATTGCCTAGAAAAAAATGCTTATCAAACAAGGCAAATGAGTGGAACCATTTTCCCTAGAAAATCTTGGATATCAAACAGGGTATAAATGCAAGTGAATCGGCCACCCAATTTCCCTCACGATAAGGGTGGGAAGATGGTCTTGCGATGAATAGAAAGTATAACGTCCCGAAAATTTTAGAATAAAATTTTATTTGTGTTATATAGTATATTTTTAATATTTTGAAAAAAAAAAAAGGACTAAAATGAAATAGGTTTTAAATTCCTATCTTATTTGAGCCAAATAATTATGTATCGATAGAGTGATAAATGTTGATTTTGATAATGATAATCTTTTTGTGATTTGGATAGAGTTTGATTGCAATTTTAATTTGATAAAGTTTAAAAGTAGTTATAATTCTATTATTTGAATTCAATTCTTATCCAATTTGACAGACACGATTTTCTATCTCAATTGTACCATGACTCAAACCATTATTTTTTTTTAACTATAAATAGTGTGCAACTGTCCCACAATTCACCACCAAAGAATTTACACGGAAACTTTATCAAAAACTCGTTTGATCAATCAAGGTAAGATACTTCTGTGCAAGTAGTTTGTTTTCTTATGCTTTTATATCCAGTAATTTATGCATGAATTGCCAGTGAACCTTCGGGTTCTTTATTAAGAGATAAGAGATTCTACGAGAATTTAAGATGACCTAAAATGAGTGTGTCGCTTGGTCACCAATATACTCCATAAGAAAAAGAGTGGTATGAAATGTTTATTTTATTGTTATATAACTGTGTGGAAACTGCACATATTTTACTAGGTATTTTAAATATTCACTCTTACAAAATTTTACAGGTTAGTTCAGGTCGATTGTAACAGTGGCGGGATGGTGATGTGACTGCCATGACGCGAACCCGGGTACGGGATCAGTGTGGAAATCGTGGAATTAATTGAAAACGCCGGGAAAGTCCAAATTCAGGTTGTAGAGGTAGAATCTCGACTCGCAAATTATTGAACCAAACAACCAAACAAAAACAAAGTTTGAATTACCTCTTGATTACAAAACCAACGAACCTCGATTTGTGAACGCCACAAAGGGTGCCTAAACCTTTGATAAGTTCTAAGGGTTGAAGTCACAATTATAACAATATTTGATAAGTTCGGTACATGTTCAGTTAAGAACAAAAAGAGAGAAATCTCATTTGATTCATAATGTCAAAAAGGTTCTTAGTTTTACAATGAAATATATCTCCTATTTATACTAATGCTAGAAACCCTAATAAAACGTAATTAGGTCATAGAATATTGTCAAAATTGGAAATAAAATAGAATCCTAGACTAACAAGGAAATCTCGCGAAAATAGGAAAATTCCGCCAACTTGTTCTCGGCATGTTTCTGTGTGATCGCAAGCCCAAAAGTACCATGAGCCCGCGTAGCCTTGTGCTTCGGAATGTACTCATTGGCGAAAATCCGACAACCGAACTGAAGAGAATTTATTAAATATGTTCAAGGAATAATTTTTCTGATTATGATTTTAAGTGATTCTTTGTTTTTGGACATTTTCTTCTCTTTAACTTAAACATGATGAAAACTCGAATTTGCTTAAAAAAGATTGGATTTTTTTATGAACGTTTTCTTAATCATTAGTCTTTTTATTGCATCGATGATTCCATACAAACTTTTCTTTATGTTACCTTGAACTCTAAGTAAGTTTAAGTGACACTGGAATTTAAGACTCAAGGTATCACAATTATTCTCTGTGATATTTTGCAAATTGTGTGAAATTATTTTTCTTAATAGTTAATTATGTGATTGCTATAGAATCTTTCCTTTTTAGAGCTATATGTAAACCTTTAAATAGGGTTTTCTACTTTGTAATAGTTAAGAGAACTTTATTATATACATTTTTATAATTTCCAACACTATCATATGCAATGTTTAATAACATCATAGGAAAAAAGTATCATAGTTTGCACCAGTTTATCTGTTTGTAACATTTAAAACGAAAAGAACACTCTTTATGAATGACTACCTCACTTAACTTGGTTCAAATCTTTTACTCAGCTAAGTTCTTTATTTTATGATAAGAAACATTTATTAATCAAAGAGCTACATTTGCAATTCGTGGAGGATAAGATATCAAATTCACTAAACTAGAAGTCAAAATGAAAATACTTCTTTCCAATTGTGAAAGTTATTGGAAGAGGAAAACTCTTAAAATCTGTTATATACAGAGGCCAATGAAGATGCCTAGAATTTTGCCTTTCTCCTACAACTCAAAATAACTTGCTTTTGATTCANGGGGGGGGGGGGGGGGGGGGGGGGGGGGGACAAGCATATAGCAAAGAGTACATTTTCCCATAACAATTTCATGAAATATACATACCATCTTGTGTGGTTCAGAGTTTGCGTTTTCCCATGGTACAATTATGACAGCATTAAGAAGATTAATATCCCACACCAACTTTTGGCGATTTGATAAAACATAACTGCATAAAGAATGATATAAGAAGAAGAATACAACCAGGGGGGGAAATACAGATGACAAATCAAATGAAAATATATAGAACACCAGTTCTACTTAATCTAGAGCCATTTAATATCAAGAAATGTGTGACATACTCAATTTTTGACAGAAGTCGCGCATGGAGATTGTCAATGCCATTTAGCGATATCAGGATCTGCAACAGTCAGTAACTGGCATGAAAACATTGTTTGACTACAAAAGGTTATACTCGTTATCATCCATTAGGTTGCTCCAAGAACCTTATTGTCAGAATACTACAGTGAATTCTATCTTATCAGTTTGAGTTGGCATCCATGAGACTATTAAATTAGAACTTGTTTTTTGTCAGGACTGAGTTCCATCTTATCAGTGTAACTTATATGTAGTAATTTGCCAGTAACCTTTCTGAAAGCGCTTGAGGCTTAACCCTTCCATTAGAACCCTGAAAGCTTACGCTCTAAGTGCCCTTTGTCAAGGCTTAAACCTAGACTTAGAGCACAAGCTTTGGGACATTGAGGCATGAAATCCTAATATCATGCTACCGACTCAACTTTTTGGCATAGATATATTTCATAGCCAAAGAATTTGAAGGATTTTCTAGATTGTTTTTAACAACGCCTAGCCCTAAAAGTGAAACAAAAAAAGGGGGGAATTAAAGATTAGAAAAGAGAACAAGTGAACAAACCTTGTGTGCCTTAATCCTTCATCCCTACAACTAAAGAGAAATTCCTGAATTGATGTTACAACTTCCGGGCAGCACATATCAGAAGACATGCAACAGGGAACTTCACTCTTTTTCTTTCTTGTATATTTTTTCTGTGTCTAAGTGTTTCGTTCTTCCCTTTCTTTGCATATTAAGTCAAACTAAGCATAGTTTATAAATAACTAGTCCGTTGTGTCATTTCTTTTAGATTTTTAGTTCTAGCTGTAGATTAATGCTTTTGCGTGTTGATCAATATTGGTACCAGGTAAGAAGCTTAATCCACCGTCTTTAACCTAGGGGCCTCTTTAATATAATATCATATGGATTCGCAACATATATTGTATTTAACCATCAAAACAGAGCAGAAGTTGAGAATGATAACTGTCAAAAGATTTTGCAGTTGTGAAGTCTTAAAGAACTCAAAAACTTGGATTCACATAGGAAGAGCACGCCACAAGGCAGAAGCACACAAAAAAGCATATAGTTCTTTTTTTTTTTCAAGCAAAACACCAACACAGCTTTAGTGGGTTTTCAAACTCCACCAAGGAAGGCTGATGAGGGTTTGGATTCTCCGATTGTATATAAAATCAAACTCATGAGAACAAAAGTAAGGGGGCATAAACCTGACCTCCCAAAAGCAAAACAATCAAATGCATGAGAGAATAAAATAAATGGACAAGTACTACTTCCTATACAGAGAAATCAAGTGAGAAGCAAACTAAAGAAAAACCAACCTAGTAATAAGAGGGGAAAAAAAAACTCATCAAAAGAAGTCAACTAAAAAATTTTACGAGCATGAGGTTTAATAAATATACACAGATACATGCATGCACGTGTGTACTACTAGTATATTATTAGAATATTATTTACTTATGGCTAATTAGATATTTCCTTGTAAATAATAGGTAGTTTCCATGTATAATTTGTATCCAAAATATCTTGTAACTTTATATAAAGAAGGGAAGACAAACGAGGAAATCATCCCGCAAATTATTGTTATGGTATCAGAGCTCTAATTTACTTACTCGTGCGTGTGATCTTCGTCACGGCAATTGCAGTTAGTCATTCAAGTCGTTGGCCTTCGTCTCGCGTCGCGGGTCTTCATTTCGCGTCGTGCCTCTCAGTTCGCGACGCCTTGTGGTGTTGGTCGCGATTTTTTTTCTTGCTCAGTCCAGCTGTTGATTCTTGGTCGCAGCAAATTTCTGGCGTCTCAGTGTTGGGTAGCCGGATTTCACAGTGTTGGGTTGGTGGTTTCAATTGAATTTTGATCTCAGGTTAACAGTCGATTTCTTCTTTGTGGACTAAGGTTGAAATAGGGTTGTGGTGTTATTTGGCCATTGATTTTGGGCCTCTATTATTTGCATAGTGTTGGGCAAGTATATTTTGGGCTATTAGACTTAATTTTTTGTTGGGCTATTAATTGAATAGTGTTGGGCAGTTACACTTGGGCTACTGTTTTTAATAATTTTTTGATTGGGCTGAAATATTTATTGGGCATATTTTATTTGGTTAAATTATGATTATTTTTGGTTGGACCATACACGATTTCATTATGTCAACGAATAAGAATGAGTATGTTTGCATTCGTTTTATTGGCAAAGACTATTCTTCATGGGCATTTCATTTTCAGTTATTAGTTGAAGGGAAATGTGATCTATGGGGACATATTGATGGAAGTATTCCCCCTCCCGATCAAGAAAAGGAAAAATATCTTACTTGGAAAATAAATGATTCTCGACTTATGACTTGGATAATTGGATCGGTTGATAATCAGATTGTACTTAATCTCAGACCTTATAAGTCATCCTGTGCTATGTGGGAATACTTGAAGAAAATTTACACTCAAAACAACAATGCTCGGCGGCTTCAGTTGGAGTTTGAAATGGCAAATTTCGTTCAGGACTCTCAGTCTATTGAAGAATATTATTCTAGTTGTTCTAACATTTAGGCTGAGTACACTGACATTATTTATGCTTCGGTTTCGCCTGACAATTTGGAGGCTATTCAAGCTATACATGAAGCCACTAAGAGGGATCAATTTCTCATGAAATAGTGAAGTGAATTTGAACCCATTCGTTCCAGCCTTACGAATCGCGAATCACTTCCAACTTTGGATGGTTGCTTAGACGAGTTACTGAGAGAGGAGCAGCGACTCATCACTCGTACCTCGTTGGAGCAACATCATCATAAGGTAACAAATCATGTTACATATGCTGCTCCAAGAAAACTCAAAGCTCGAGATATGTCTGATGTTCAGTGTTACAGCTGTAAAAAGGGTTTGGCCATATAGCTTTTCAATGTCCAAGAAAAATGTGTAATTATTGCAAGAAGTCTGACCATGTCATTAAGGAGTGCCACGTACGTCCTCCACGCAAGACCGGACCACGTTAGGTTGCTGCAGCCACTTTAGCATCAAGTTCTATTTCGTTAGTTGCTCCCACTCAAGTTCCAGCCAGGGCCGTACCTGTGTTTCGTGGGGCCTGAGCGAATTTCAAAATTTGGGCTCCTAAATTGTAGCAAGTAATCAATTTTTTTCATTTATAAGAGTTTTATGGAATTAAATTTGTTAACTTAAAATCAACAATAAAATAATAAAATGAAATATTCAAAAAATATATATTACAATCAAATAACAATGCGAAAATATTTTAAACGATCACTTAAATACAACTCGTCGTGCGGTCTTAGAGACAAAAATATTAATCAATTTTAAAAAGTAGATTTGTTCAACAATTTCTTTTTCAATAAAAAACATGATTAATCCATTCAATTTTTGCTGTGACAAAGTTGATCGAAAATAAATCTTAATTAATTTAAATACACTTCGCACTCATAATGAATTCAATTTCACATAAAATAGAAAATAAACTTCTTATTTATAAAAATGGTTAAATTTTACACACTTTCTCACTTTGCACAAGGTTCACAGCCTTTAGAGAAAAAAATTGTTATTGCAACAACAATAACGATATATTATCTAAGGTCATAAATATTTTCATAATGTAACAGTAAAATGAAAAAAATTAATTCGCGTCATATTTAACCATTCATTGCACTCAATCACCCCATAGAAGACACAAATTCACATTAATTAATAATGGATTATAGATTGAGAAAAGAAATTCAATCTCACACAAAAATTAATGATCCGATCAACAGGATATTGAAAAAATATAATTGAATTTAGAGACAAAACTATACAGCAATCAATTAAATATATAAAATCTACCAGTTAATGTAATTTTAAAAGACTAAGGTTAATAAACGATCAGATCAACAAAGATGTGTTTAATGATGCACAAATATATATTGAGAGGGTGTTACACAATGGAATGAGTATTCCAAATGCAAACACTAATTCTATGATTTACGATAATCATTGTTGAAGAAGCATCATTGTTTGGAGCAGCCGAACAAGGGTGAACAAAAATAAACGATAATGGATTTTTAAAATAAAGGAAGCAAAAAAAAAATTTGGGCCCCCTAAAGAGTTGTGCCTGAGGCGACAGCCTCTTGGGCCTCTCCTCAGGTCCGGCTATGGTTCCAGCCTCTCACGGTTCTACCCAACCTTCCATCACTCCTGAGATGATCCAACAAATGGTCATTTCTGCTTGGTCTGCATTAGGTCTCAGGTAAATCATCAACTGCTTCTTGGTTACTGGATTCCGGTGTTTCTAATCATATGACTCATGATACTCAATTACTTAGTAACATTAGACCATATACTGGACCTCTCCATATACACACTGTCGATAGTTATACTCTTCTTATTTCGGCCGTGGGTGATGTATCACCAGGACTACCTAATGTTTTACTTTCTCCTAGTTTATCAACTAATCTTATATCTGTTGGTCAACTTATTGATAACAATTCCACCGTGTCTTTTTCTTCTTCTAGGAGACCTAAGGACGGACGTCTCTTTCCTATTTTACCGAAGCATGTTCCATTTTCTTCTATTGTTTGTAAATCTGCTACTGTCGATATTTGTCATTGGCATAAGTTATTAGGGCATCCAAACTCTAATGTATTACATCATTTGTGAAATTCTGGTTTACTTGGTAATAAGAATCATGCTTCGGTTTAATCTATCTCGCTTGATTGTGCATAATGTAAACTTGCTAAGAGCAAGGTTTTACCGTTTCCTTCTTTTGGTTCTCGTGCTTCGCATATTTTTGATATAGTTTATAGTGATGTATGGGGATTAGCACATGTATCTCATGCCCATTATAAATAATTTGTTACTTTTATTGATGACTATAGTTGCTTTACATCGATTTATTTTCTTCGTGCAAAGAGTGAGATTTTTTCTGCTTTCCAGTTTTTCATGCTTTCATTGACAACCAATTTTCCTCTTCCATCAAGATGAGGCGAATATATGTCCAATAGATTTCAATCTTACTTACAGACAAAAGGGATTATTTCTCCAGCGCTCTTGTCCTTCTACCCCGCAACCAAATGGGGTGGCAGAACGTAAGAATCGTCATCTTCTTGACATGATTCGAGCTCTTCTGATTCAGTCTTCTGTTCCTTCTCGTTTATGGTGTGAAGCGTTGTCTACCGCTATTCTCATAAATCGTTTACCTTCTCCCACTATTAATAATGTTTCTCCGTTTTATAAGCTCTTTGGTCATCATCCCACATACTCTCATCTTCGTCCATTTGGTTGTGTTTGTTTTGTTCATTTAACACTGCTTGAAAGAACAAAACTTACACCTCAATCTGTCAAGTGTGCATTTCTGGAATATGGTGGGACTCAGAAAGGATATTTGTTATGATGATTAGGATTTCTCGTAACGTTTTTTTTAAAAAAACCAATCTTTCTTCACTTCCGAAATTGCTCTCCCCGCCTGTGTTCTTTGTATTAGCTGATTTCCCTGCAGAATTCTCTTGATACAAGTCTGGTCTAGTTTACTCTCGCAGGAATGTCGCACCGGTTACTGGTCCCGAGCTTCCTTCTCAGACACCTGTTTCCTTAAGTCCTCCTGATCCTCCACCTACGACATCAGATTCTTCACCAGATGATCTCCCGCCTCATGTCACTCTTCGTCGCACCTTTCGTGTTCCTCGACCTCCAGATAGGTGTGGTTTCTCTTCCCATAGCTCTATATCTGCTACTCTTGACTCGATTTCCATTCCTACCTCTTATAGACAGGCTATGGAAGAAGAGTGCTGGCAACAAGCAATGAATGTAGAACTTGAGGCTCTTAACGCTAATCAAACTTGGGATATTGTACCATGTCCGCCGAATGTGAAACCCATTGGGAGTAAATGGATATATTCAATCAAACTTCGTTCTAATGGTTCTGTTGAGCGCTATAAGGCTCGGTTAACTGCCTTGGGTAACCGTCAAGAGTATGGAATCGACTATGATGAGACATTTGCTCCTGTGGCTAAAATGACCATCGTTCGCCTCTTGTTATCTCTTGCTGCCTCTCAGTCTTAGTCACTTCATGAAATGGATGTAAAGAACGTGCTTTTACATGGAGACCTTAAGGAAGACATTTACATGAAACTTCCCTTTCGTAAGCCACTTCCCTCGGCTGGCTCTGTTTGTAAGCTAAAACGCTACTTGTATGATCTTAAGCATGCACCTCGGGCTTGGTTTGATAAGTTTCGTCACTCTTTTGAATTTCTCCTTTACTCAGAGTCAGTATAACACATCTCTATTTTTCACGAGAGTCCTGCTGGGATCTTTTTTTGTTGGTATATGTGGATGACATTATTTCTGGATCTGACCACAATCTTATTCAGAAGTTTCAGCAGCATCTTCACTCTGTTTTTCATATGAAAGATCTTGGTCAATTTACTTACTTCCTTGGCTTAGAGGTTCATACTGCGTCACATGGTATCTTCTTGAATCAACTTAAGTACATTCAAGACTTGATTAGGTTGGCTGATTTGTCTAAAACCTCTTCAGTTGATATGCCTTTGGAACTTAATGTTAAATATCGGAAAGATGAAGAAGATATTCTTCCTAATCCAGCTCTTCGGAAGTTGGTGGGTAGTCTCATATATCTCACTATCACACGTCCGAATATTTCATTTGTCGTTCATACTATCAGCAAGTTTATGGACGCCCCTCGTCGTCTTCATTTGGTAGATGTTCGTCGCATTATTCACTATCTTATTGGGACTCCTCATCGTGGACTTTTCTGCCCTCGGGGGTCGTCTCTTGAGCTCACAGCTTATAGTGATGCTCACTGAGAGGGTTGTCCAGATTCTCGTCGATCTACTACTGGATGGTGTCTTTCTGGATAATGCTCTCATCTCTTAGAAATGTAAGAAACAGGAATGTGTTTCTAAGTCCTCCATTGAGGCTGAATACCGAGTTACGTCCGCTGCATATTCTGAGGTGGTGTGGTTGCGTGGTCTTATTGCAGAACTTGGTTTCTCTCAATCACAGCCTATTGATGAGTGTTCTACACTCATGATATTTATGTCACTTAATTCGTTATTTTGTCATTCTTGAGAGAGTTTTAGAGTGTTTTTATGTGTGTTTTGATGTTGTGATGTAGGTTGATGAGATTGAAGAAAATAAACAAAAGTTGGAAAGGAAAGGGCTAAATTGTAAGAGATCTAAAGTTCGGGGACTAAAGTACAAATATT